CGCTAGAGCTTGAGCCTTAATGGCAGCCCTCGGACGGTAGCTGATGCTGAATTCGGTGAGCTCAAAAGCCCACTTGGCTAGCCTACCAGATTTTTCAACCTTGCCGAGAACTTTTTCCAACGGCTGATCAGTTAAGACCACTATCTGATGGCAATCAAAATAGGGCCTCAGCTTCCGAGCAGCTACTACTACCGCGAAAGCGACTTTCTCGAGTAGAGGGTAGCGAGTCTCGGCATCCGTCAGTGTATGACTGACAAAGTAGATCGGTTGATGACTTTTACTTTCTCGAGTAGACGGATGCCGAGATGCCGAGACTTTGTCAGTGTATGACTGATGGTGGCTGGGCTAACGGCCACATACAGGTACAAAGTTTCTCCTTCAGCTGGGCTAGCCAGCGTTGGGAGTTGAGCCAGATGCTCCCGAAGCTGTTTGAAGGCGTCTTTATGCTCTTCCTCCCAAACGAGCTCTTTTGTTTTCGGGAGTTTCAGGGCTTTGAAGAAAGGTAACCCCTTATCCGAAGCTCTGGAAATGAACCTCGAGAGGGCTGCCATTCTTCCAGTGAGCCGCTGAACATCCCGCTTTGTTTTCGGCTCAGGAAGGTCGAGCGCCGCTTTGACTTTGGAGGGATTGGCATCAATCCCCCTTTTGCTGACTATGAACCCAAGGAATTTCCCTGACTTCACGCCGAAGACACATTTCTTCGGATTCAGCTTCATTTGATGCTTTCTTAAGGTGGCGAAAGTTTCAGCCAGGTCCTTAACATGGTCCTCTGGTTTTTTTCTTTTGACGATCGAATCGTCGACATAGACTTCCATGTTTCGGCCCTTTTGATCGGCAAAAACTTGATCCACCAGCCTTTGATAGGTTGCCCCCGCATTTTTCAATCCGAAGGGCATCATTTTGTAATTGTACACCCCAGCATTCGTGACGAATGCTGTCTTTGCTCGATCGTCGGGGTGCATGAAGATCTGATGATACCCCGAGAATGCGTCCATGAAACTAAGCAAGGCATGGCCACTTGTCGAATCGACTAGCTGATCGATCCTCGGCAAGGGATAGAAATCCTTCGGACAAGCCTTATTTAGGTCCATGAAGTCAACGCACATCCTCCAGGTACCATTGGCCTTGGCCTTCTGAACCATCACCACATTTGCCAGCCATTCTGGATATTGGCAAGGCTCGATGAAGCCTGCCTCCAGCAATTTTTTGACCTCGGCTGCGATGTCTCGGTTCTTATTAGCGGAATAATTCCGCTTCTTTTGCTTAATTGGTCGACACGTTGGGTCAACATTAAGCTTATGGGAGATGAGGTCTGGACTTATCCTGGGCATATCAGTTGCCGAGAAAGCAAACACATCTCTGTTGTCCCGAAGGAGCTGAATAAGTTCACAACGGGTGTTCGGATCAAGGTCCATCCCGATTGTTACACATTTCTCAACGTCTCCTTCGGCCAACTCAAATGTTTCAGTCTGTTGGTCCATGTCCATTGCTGATGGACTGGACTCTTCATAATCTGGACTGCTGCCTATGTCAGCAGGTGTCCCAGTCTTTTTGTTCTTCGGCTGGCTCTCTGAGTCTTGCGGCTCAGCTGAAGAGCTAGCCTTTTCCCTTTCGGGCCCTTTACCTCTGGGTACAGATCCTTGGGCCGAAGCACGTAGGCCTTTCGGCTTTTTTGTGCTTGGCTCTCTTTCTTTTTCTTTCTCCTCCTCATCCTTGTCGTCATCTGGGCGACTACTGGATGGCTTGAGGTAGTTGCACTTTGGGCGTCCTTTTGGTTGCCCTGTATCCTTTCGGGGAAGCCGGCGTCTGAGACGTAAATCATCAGCTGATGATAAGTTGAGACGACCCCTTGGATCTCATGAATTATGGGTCTCCCCAAAATCACGTTGTACACTGAAGGAGCGTCAATGACCAAAAATTCAATCATGACGTTCCTGGCTGCCTCATCGTAGCCGATGGTGATAGGAAGTGTCACCTTCCCATCTGGATAAGTTGAAGCCCCGTTGAACCCGGATACCGGGTAGGGTACCGGCGTAAGGTGCTTGGGCTTCAGCTTGATTTGATTGTAGGCCTTTCGGAACAGAATGTTTGCTCCGCTGCCACCGTCAACAAGGACCTTACTGACGTCGTGGTTGGCCACCGTGGCGATGATCACCAACGGATCCTCGTGAAGGAACGTTATCCCCCGGCAGTCGGCGGCTGTGAACGTCATGTTCGGCACCGGCGATTGGGGAGATTGAATATCAGCGTTGTTCACCTGGTGAGTCAAAGCCCTAAGGTGTCGCTTGTGCTCCCTCCGAGAGTATATTCCTCCCGAGATAACATTGATCGGAGAGAATTTCCCCTCCGGCTTTTTACTGTTCTTCCGGGGGAAGTCGAGGTCTTGTCGAGAGTCCTTTGCTGACTTCTCGGACTCTTTTTTTTCGCGGTGATCCGCGATGTATTTTTTCAAGTATCCCTTCCGGACCATGTCCTCTATCTGGTCTTTCAGTTGGATACACTCCTCAGTGTTGTGTCCCGAAGACTCGTGGAACTCGCACCACTGATTTTTATTTTTTCGCTGATGCCACTCTGGGAGTGGTCTCGGCTTTCGGTAACTCTGCTCCTCCTTCGTCACGCTGTAAATTTTGGCGCGTGGAAGAAAGAGCGGAGTGTAGGATTCGTATCTGCCTGTGTATGAGGCAGATTTTTCCTTTTTTGGGTCGCTGGCCGAAGATTGCTCCGAGGCCTTTGACCAAGACTGCTTCAGAAATGTCGTAATGCAACTCAATTTGCTCGGCAAACCGATATTGTTCGGCATTCTCCACCCACCATGAGTAGGGGCGGTTCTTTATCATGGTCGAAGCTACTTCGGCATTCTCCCACTCTGAAAACCCGGGGAGGATATCCCAAAGGACAGCGGGAACTTCATCGTCCCGTCCAGAAGCGCTCGGCCCCTCCGTTCTCTGAGGAGGAGCCGAGGAAATTGGAGTCGCCCTAATCCCTTCAGCAGGGTCAGACTCTGCTCTTTGTCCATTCCAGATCCTAATCCTGTTCCAAGGATCGGGAATTGGCCTTGCTCTTCTTGGAGCACGGGCTCTACCCCTAACTCGTCTTGCCATTGATGATTTCGAAGAAAAAAGTCGAAAAAAGAGGGAAGGAGTTCGAATTCGAAGAAAAATAAACTAAAATCAAAGGAATTTACCTTAATCTGAAGCGAAAGTTGCCGATTTACGAGTTCATATTGGCAAGTTTCTAAGCTTAATGCTCGGGGAATTTGCGAAGTTTTGATGCGGGTTCTTGGGTTCACTCGAGAATTCTGGGTTTGTGTTGGTGAATAAGTGAGGAGAGATGACGCGCCTCTGATTATATCTCCAGAAATGGGAATACGGGGAGTCCGCGTTTCAATTTCTCTTAAATACCCCACTAAGTAACCGTTAAACACACGACCTTGCGATTAAACTGCCCATTATCCGTCCAACTTCCACAATCATCCGCCTTAACCGTTGTTATCTCATTAATTACGGTTTAAATTCAAATTTTTGGATTAATTAAATCATTCACTTCCCTCCTTTTCTGATTAAATCAAACCCGACCCGTCATCCTTCCGAATCGGGTCTGGGGGGCAAGTTGTTTGGGTCCAATTTAGTCCAATTGGGCTTAGGCATTAAATGATCCAATTAAAAGCCCAAGGTCAAGGTTCATCTCTCCAATTGTGCTAAAGTCAAAGATCAGCCCTCAAGGCAAGCCAATTGGGCTAAGGCCCAACTTCTCCATGTATGAAGAGGTATAAAAGCCATCAATATTACATTTTTACATAGATTCTCATATATTCTCATTAATTCAAGCAAAGCCTCAAGCAACTAACTCTCTTGCATAGTCTTCTCTTTCAACACATTGTACTGACTTTAGCATCGGAGGGGCCTTCCTCGGCAACACCCCCGAGGCTAGTTTACGTGTGTTTACTGTGCAGGAAACCTTCGGCCCAACATAACTTGGACCGAATCTAGTCTTCTCCGTTTCATCGGACCTTCGGCAAGGTCCCATTGTTTTCACCCGAAACACAAATTAATTTAGTTCACTATGTGAATGTTATGATCCAAATCTATAACTAAAAATCATAAAGGCTTCGTTCTTTAGTCACAAAACGAAAACAACTTAATTTATATAATAAGGTTAATATTAATACAAGTAGATAATAATTCAAGGCTTATATAGCATCCTTTAAACAAGTCGTCGAGCCCACCACTCATGAATATCTAAGAACACGACATTAATAGTAGGACAATTGAATAATTTTCACTAATTATTACTGATAGTGACTGACTATTCCGACCTACATCGAAAATCATAATTCGTACAACATAAGACCAAATTACACTGAAGCGACCAACAACCATGAAATAAAAATCAAAACTCGAACAAAAAAAACATCAAAATCACAGATCCAAATTTCAGACAAAATTAAACGATCAAAAACTCAGAATTGATGTAAAAACAGATGAAATAGAGAGAAAATTACAGCGGTTTGAACAAGCTCGTCGACGTAAGAGGAAGCGCGGACGACGGGAAGGGAGACTCGGCGAGTAGGGAAGGCGACGGAAGATGATCCGGGGCGTTGAGTGAAGGAGTGTTGACCGATCCAATTGGAAGACGCAGCGTTTAGCTTCACCAAACTTGTAGTCGCCATTGTTGTTTGTTAGTGATCTCTGTTAGTTTCTCTCTCCTCTTATATTAATGGAGTGATGGAAGTGTAAAGGTGAGGTCGATACAAAAGAGTTGCTTATAAAAGAAAGGGGGAAATGGTAGGCGGCTGTATAATGGAGTTGTTGGAGTTTTTCTGGGAAAGTCCGCGCAAATCGATTATCAACTTAGAGCATGTTGGTATGGGCTTTTTATAGGGTTAGTAACGGAATTGGGTTACCGTTTCCGTTAGAAGATGTTTGGTGAAAGAGTTAAGTAATAGAAATCGTTTCCTTCCTCTAACCCATTCCATTACTTTGTTTCCAATGTAAAATTTGGGGAAACAAATCCCGTTTCTTTCCTCTATCTATTCTCTCTCCTCTCATACAACAGATCTCCCCACAATCCTCAACTTTGATCGATCGAAGCCACAAATTCGCTGAAGAATTCTAAATTTCGTACTTCAAATTTCCAGAAATCAACAATCTCAAGGTTTGATCTCTCACTTTTTTGTTGAAGAACCCTAGTTTTTGAGTTGTGTTGAATTTATAAAAATTTTGTCTTATTGATTTCGTTTTGATTTTTCTACTGTATATTGAAAGATTGCTATTTAATTTGATTTTCGATCTATATTTTTTCTTTGTGTTGATTGCTATTTTCGATGGTGTTAATTAATTTCTAGGGTTTTCTGTCCTAATTTTTCAGTTTTATTTGAGTTTTATTTTTCTCAATTGAATCTCCTGTTTTTTGCTTCATGACGTTATTGCTAACATGATATCAATTTCGATTTTATCAAATAATACTTACTGATGTTTTGTCATGCAAATTTCGATTTTATGCTATTATAATTTGCTATTATTATTTGGCTTCTTTTCCCCCAAATTTCGATTTTATGCTTAATAGTAATACTTACTGATGTTTTGATCTGCAAATCAGCTTTGTTTAGCAAATGTCAATGGTAAATAATCAGCTTTGTTTAGCGAAAATCAATGTTTTGAGGCAGATTGTTAATGTTGTTTGATTGCTATTGCTTTGCTGGTTTTTAAGGCATATTGGGTCTCTAATTTTTGTTACTTGATTGCTATTGTTTTGCTTATGGACAAATCGACAACCCGAAAGTGCCGAGGTATTCTACTATTCCCCTGCTGTTGCCCCTCCCCCTTCTGCTATTCCCCTACTGCTTCCCCCTCCCCCCCTTCTGCTATTCCCCTGATGCTGCCCCTCCCCCCTGCTGTTATTCCCCTGCTGCCCCTCCCCCCTGCTGCTATGGTTTGGTGGTTTATGCATAATTTAAGTTCAATTATGTTGGCATCTAGGCTACCAAAAACAAACCACTAACTACCAATTCTATTTGGCATCTAGGCTAGAATATGTTATTTGGCATCTACCACTAATTTAATGCTTTGTTTATGAAATGATTATCCTGCTCTTGTTTAAGTTTCCAAAACTACTTTACACAGAATTAATCATACACACACGCACACACATATTTAGAATTTTTTTTTCAAAAATGGAGAAGAAATGATAATGTCTCTATGTTAAATGTTTGATTAGTGATTTTTGGAAGCTTATGATTGCTGTGTTGCTAAAGTCCTGTCCAGCATCAGTTCATTTATAAAAGTTATATGGGTGCTTTGGTAATGGATATAGACCTAAGATGCTTTAGTTTTAATCTGCTTGGCTATATGTCTGACATGGACTTTTCCTAAGATACTTAGAAAGATTAAAGATTGCTAGTGTAATGGATATACAATGTTTTAGACTTGAAAATAAATAAGGTCATAGTCATATGATACATGGACAGGTAGCTAAACTAGCCTTTCAGATTAATCAGATTAGGCTTGCTGGCTTTTCAGTGAGTTAATTTAATGAATTAGTGAGTTAATTTATTATGCATTTTAAAGATAAGTTATTTGATTAACTAGAGATTGATATAACTATTGTTTTGCCGTTTATCAGGTTCAATTGCCATTTATTTTCTGTGTTTCTTGTACAATGCCTCGACTTATGCGTTCTATAAGGAAGAAAAAGCTAAAACAAATACAAATAGTAATTGCAATGGTTATTATTATGTTGATGATGTATTGGATGTGGTATATAATTTGTGTTGTTACAATAAGGGGGGTTCAAATAAAAGATAGGAAAAGAAACAAAAAATTGTTACGGATGTTAGTATTGAGAGGGCTTTATAGGGAGAGTGATGTGAAATGTAAGAGGGAGCTTCGCGTTAATAGAAGAACTTTCAATATTATTTGTGAGATGCTTAGAGACATTGGGGGTTTGAGTGGAACAAAAAACATGTCGCTTCAAGAGATAGTAGCCATGTTTTTATACACGTTGGCTCATCATAAGAAGAATAGGTCTATTGGACATTACTTCTATAGCAGTGGAGAAATCGTGAGCCGACAATTTCACCTTTGTCTAAGGGCTTTTCTCAAGTTGCATGAAGTACTACTTTACAATCCCACACCAATATCGGATGATTGTGAAGATGAAAGGTGGAAATCCTTCAAGGTATTGGTATTTTCAAAGCCTCTAAATTTTGCTAGGATTTTCTTATTTTTGCTTGTTTGTAAGTAATATTTTTTCCTATTTTTGTAGAATTGTTTAGGGGCATTAGATGGGACTTACATTAATGTAAATGTGCCTTCACAAGAACGACCAAAGTATAGAACAAGAAAAGGAACAATTTTGTAGGAATGGTGATGATGATTTGGTGGCCTCTCTCCAAGATGTTTCTAACAATTTTGGGAAGATATTTGAAAATATCAATGTTAATCTTGGGACTATGGCTAGTGCATGGTCTAAAGCGGAAGAAAGAGATCAAATGATGGATGAAAAAGTGAACAAGGTTTTGGATGAGGTGATGAAGTTAGATGGAATTTCTTCATCCGAAGCTTTAGAGGTTGCTACAATTCTCATGGCGGAAGAACATAAGCTTTGCATCTTCTATCAAGCTCCAACTAATATGAAAAAACAATATGCAATTGATCTTCTTAAGATACTAGAATTTCAATGCTTTTGTAATCAACAACTTATGTGACTTTGCCTATATATCTAGCATATGATATATTATGGTAATTAGTGTTGCTCTACATTGTATAATGTATATCAAAAGTTAGCCAAGACATCAAAAATTAGAAGGAAAGCTATTTGTTTCCAAGTTATCTATGCCAAACAAGAGGAAAGGGATTAGTTATAATTGTTTACTTTTCCTTAGTAATACCAAAAAACTAGTAAGGGTAACACTATATATTACCCTTTCCCCTCCTAATTTGTTTCCATTCCCTTACATTTACTAATTTGATACCAAACACCCCCTTAAAGTGTTAAAGTGTGCAGTGTGTGTAGTGATCTGGGGAATATTCCGGGTATACTACGGCCCGCCCACTTTGAGGATGGCTAGCCTGCTACTCCAATAGTCCAGTGTGGTAATGAGGGGATGAGTCAAGGCCTTTACTTACGAGATGTTCGAGGAAGTACTAATGTAGTGTTTGTCGTGTTGAGAGTGATGGATAACTCAAATGCATGGTTAGAGCTTTCCTCCCGATTCCAAGATATCTTGGAATCGATTCTCATCACCAGCCTTTCTGGCTCTCTAAACACCAAAAACAAAAAAAGTACTAATGTATAACAAACATTAAAACATTATAAGTCACATGGAAGAGAGACAAAAGGAAGAAAGAGAATGATGTGTGGGACCACTTCTAATTTTACCACTGAACGTTTATATAATTCCATTAGTTATCTAGTGATACTGTACATGCACGTAGTTAGTACCATTGAATGTATATATGTAGTACTACTGAATGCATACATAGTACCACTGATATATTCAATGATGCTATTTGATCACTCAATGATACTATTGATCACTCAATGGCACTACTCTAAAATCAAGTACTAAATTACGTGCAATTACACTCTTACCCCTCGTTATGCAATTGTTCTTGCATAATGGGACTCCTTTTAAACAAACTCTGAGATGTCCATTCAAGTGTCCAGGTCAGGTTTGATGAGGTCAGATTGAGTGTTAATAATTGAACTCTTATAAATAGCATTTGGACAATTATACCCTTTAAATGTTTATTTTAATTTTTCAACATTTTAAAAGTATGAGAAAACACTTATAAATAGTGTGCGAATAATAATATTGTTAACATGTTTGTTTCCTTAAATCCCACTGAAAACTTTCAACTTACCAACCTTATTGCATGTTTGATCAAATGATAAAAAATATGTCTAACTTTCTCTCTCTAGTTTTTTCTCTCCTCTAGGGGTGATCATCGGAGGTGTCTCCTTCTCGCTTTGGAGAGGGGGCTCTGAGAGTCTCCTTGGTCTAGAGTCTTAACTATTTCTCCTCAAATTGTGTTTCCTTTTAGTGTTGTTTGTTTTTCTTTTTTGCAGGTATTGAAGCTCGCTTTACTTTGCCATTCTTGATCCTTTCTCTACTCTGTTCATGGATGGTCCTCCTATTATGGATACTAACATGGATGACATCCCTTTGAATAACAACAATGAAAACCTTCCCTCCAATCCAAATGAAAATTCAGATCCCATTTCACCTGAGGTCGGTACTACTAGTCCTAACCAGTCCCAAATCCAAGCCTTACCTCTGCCTCAATTAAATCCTTCTATGTCCTTTGGAGAAGCGGTTAAGGGTTCTTCTCAATGGTTTTCTAAGGCCCGAGAAATAGCTGTTTCCTCTCTTCAATGGGAAGAGGAAGATGTTACCATCCCCGACTCAGCTTGCACCATCTCTTTTGCTAAAGAAACACTTGAGAAATTACGTAACCCTTGGAAACTTACCCTAATGGGAAAATGCTTAGGAATCTCTGTTAGACCCTCCTTCATAACTCAAAGGGTTTGTGCCATGTGGGAGCCTAAAGGAACCCTTGAAATAATTGATCTTGGGAAAGATGTTTACCTCTTTAGATTTTATGTGCTTGATGATTACGAGAGAGCTCTCCTCAGTGGTCCTTGGTTTATTCTAGATCATTATCTCATGATCACCAAATGGAAACCTAACTTTCGACCATCAATGAATCCTTTCAATAGAATGACGGTCTGGATTCGCTTCCCGGAGCTCCCAGTTGAATACTACGACAAGGATGCTCTTTTTGAAATTGCTAAAATTGCTGGTAATCCTATCAAGGTTGATTATGCTACTGATCATCTAACCAGAGCTAGGTATGCCAGATTCTGCATCGATATTGATCTTACTACACCGCTTGTTACAGCGGTTTGGGTTAGTAATGGATGGCAACAAATTGAATATGAAAATATTCACTCGTTGTGTTTCAAGTGTGGAATAATTGGCCACCAAAAAGAAAAATGTCAATTGATTGACAAAGGGAAACAACCCATCACTCCACCCCTTGAGCCCAACTCGCTTGCCAACAATGAATCCACCCACAAAGTTATTGATAGTGGGCTTCTAGCTGTTACTCAATTATCTAAGCCTAGCCCATCCCATGTTACCCCTATTTCTGATAATCCTCTTATCCAATCTTCCAATTCCTATGGACCTTGGTTAATTGTTTCTAATAAAAAAATTAATCACAAAAAAACAAACAACAAAAATACAACCCACCAACTGCCAAAACAATTAACAATAAGAATAAATTAATTACCAAGAATATTTTATCCCAAAAGACTGCTCCTTCCCAAGAAATTCACTTTTCTGTTTTAGCCAATGAAGGAGAAGAAGATGAAAATCCTCTTCCAGCAAAAAATATTTCAGCCGAAATTCTCTGTAAGGAAATTTCTATACTCAAGGGAACTGGGGAGGCTTGCGTGAAACCTAGATTATTTACTGCTACTCCCTCTGACAGTTTCGGACAAATGGCAATGGAAGTGGAGGAACCAACCAACGCCATAGAAACCCACCCACAAACCTTTGATCTCCCCCTTTTAAACCTTTCCAATGAATTAATTTCTAACACTGATAATCACTCCTCTCCAATCATCTTAAACATTGAAAAAAACTCTCTGGAATTTAGCCATGAAAAGAAACCCTCGAAAAACTTGCTCCCTCGCCGTTCGAAGCGAATTCTGGCGGGGCCACCGCGGCGCCATCGCCGGTTCTTCCCTCCATCCTTGGGAAACCGCCGGAACTCCCCCCCTCCGCCTCTACCTCCCCCAATTCCCAATCTCAACCTCCCATCAACGGAGCTTTCCCTTGCTCCTCCTCTCCTGGGAACTTCGACTCCCTCCCCTCAATCGGCGCTCCGGCCACCGGTTCCCCTCTCATATCTTCCCTCTCATTTCCTCCCCTCCTCGTCCACCCTTCCTCCGTCGACCACCATCTTCACCGTCCCGAAAACTATTGCCGAAATTCAGGAAATAATCAGAGCCTCTCCGGCTCAGAACAGCTACCAACCACCGAAACCACTACTTTAGACTCCTCTGGAATCCCCGATAATAACGGCCAAATTCTCCCTTATGCACCAAACCCTGCTTCAACTCAACCAGTTAGCTCTGTCTCAAACCCCTGTTTTACCTCCCCTCTCTCCCAAACCTCGATGGTGCAAAGAACGAGCCCACCTCCTCGCTCGCAACCCAATTACTCCTCCTCCTCATTTGAGAACTCTTCCCAATCTACCTCTATTATTCGATCCCATCGAGAGAGACGTCGAACGACCGGAAAGCCTTATGATCTTAACTCAGACTCAAAAGGATAAGGCGGGTCTCAGACTAGAAGTCAACTTCTGGGAGTCAGCATTGACAACAAGGGAAGTTCAAGAAACTCTATTTCCACTATCGATGATGGAAATTTACCCATCGAAACAAGCTCGGCATTGGGAGGATTGGAAGATTGCCCTTCCACCAATCCTTCCGAAGGACCTGAAATCTGATTTTATTCGGCTCCCCTTATTCCCAAATCTAAATATGAAAGTTGTCTTGTGGAATGTTCGAGGTGCGACAATAAATGACTTTATCCCACATGCTTGGGATATTATTGCTGCTCATAAACCCTCTATCTTTATTATATTAGAGGCCAAAAGTAATGGTATTCGTGCTTTAGAAGTTAGCAGACTTTTAGGGTTTAATGGCCTCCGTTTTATTGAGCCAAATGAATCTAGGGGTGGAATTTGGCTCATGTACAACGACAAGGTCGAGCTGGTGCTGTACAACTCTTCCTCTATCAACTTTTTCCATGCTCTTTTTAAGTTCAAACCTCATAACAACGAGGTCCTGCTCACTAGTGTTCACACTCCTTCGAATGCCACTGGGAGACACTGTCTCTGGAATGATCTCAGAAACAATCTTCCTCCTGATTACAATCCATGGATGCTTCTTGGTGACCTCAATGAAGTCACTTCGCCGGCTGAAAAAATGGGTGGAAGAAATTTCAGAATGTCTCAATGTCGGGATCTCAATTTACTTGCGGATGCGGCTTGTTTTGTTGATCTTGATTTTCAAGGAAACCCCTTTACTTGGCACAATTCTAGGGAAGGTGTTGCTATCATTCGAGAGAGATTAGATCGAGCTATGGCAAACCCGAGTTGGCTCAATACCTTCCCAAACACTCAGGTACTTCACTTACCTAGAACCTTTTCTGACCATAATCCTCTCCTTGTTACGTTGTTCAATAATAATATCTCTGGCAATTATCCCTTTCGTTGTAAAACTGCTTGGCTAGAACACTCTTCCTTTAAACCCTACTTCACAAATAATTGGTCTTCTAATAATTTTGATTTTATTAAAGGAAGAGATGAATTCCTCCGTACTGTTAAAAATTGGAATTTTAATGTTTTTGGCAATTCTACTAGAATTAAAAATAATCTCAATAAAAGGATTGATGGTATTCAACGTAGCCTTTCAAAACGATTTTCCAACTTCCTGTTTCATCTTGAAAAGGATTTAATCAATCAACTAAATTCAATTTATCATGCTAAGCGTATTTCTTGGGCTCAAAAGGCAGGGATGGATTGGCGAAAGTATGCAGATTATAATACAAATTTTTTTTTCATATCTCTGCTAAAATCAAAAAATCTAGTGGCAAGATTCTTTGTTTAAAAAATATTGATGATGAAAATGAACCTTGGATTCTTGATCAAAACTCTTTAAAAAACATGGCCAGGGATCACTTTGTTAAATTTTTTTTCATCTTCCATTATTCAACCTGATCATCAGCTTCTTAATAGATATTCCTACCCTAAAATTTTAGATTCTGATATCTCCTCTAGCCTAGGTGATATTCCCCTCCCTGATGAAATTAAGTCAAACCTGCTTGCTATGAACTCCATCAATTCCCCTGGGCCGGATGGGATACAAGCCATCTTTTTTCAAAATAATTGGGATGATATTGGGCCTAGCATGTGTGATTTTGTTCAAATTTGCTTTCTTAATGGTTGTATTAATAGTGGTATAAATGATTCTTACCTTTGTCTTATCCCTAAAAAAGATAACCCTACTACTATGGCTGATTTTAGTCTGATTGGGCTTTGCAATACCACTTACAAGTTAATTAATAAATGTATTGCTTCTCGATTAAAACCTTTAATGAATAATCTCATTAGCCCTTATCAATCAAGCTTCATTCCTAATAGGTCTATTGATGAGAATATTATAATCATTAAAGAGGTCGCCCATTTTTTTTAATAAGTCTTCTAAAAAGGCTAATATTATGGCTCTTAAAATTGATTAAGCAAAAGCTTTTGATAGTATCGAATGGAGTTTTATTGAGGGTACCCTTAGGTCTATTAATCTCCCGATTCTCTTGTTGCTCTTATCCTTAGTTGTATTTGTTCCCCCTCTATGTCGGTTCTTTGGAACGGTCAAATTACTAACTCTTTTAAGCCGTCTCGAGGTATTAGAGAAGGATGTCCCCTTTCCCCTTATATCTTTATCCTTTTTCTTGATCGTTTGTCTTGCATGATCCAAGAAAGAGTTAATAATAAATCTTGGAAGGCTATGAAAATTGCTAAGGATTTAGAAATTTCTCATCTTTTTTATGCCGATGATATTTTTCTTTTTGGTAAAGCTACCCTTGACAATATCAATGTTATGATGAATGTTTTGGATCATTTTAATAAAATTTCTGGCCTCTCCATTAACATTAAAAAATCGACCATTTTATTTCCCAAAAAGATGGATTTTAATATTAGAAAATCTATTTATGAATTTTGTAATATCAAAAGCACTACTTCCTTTGGAAAGTATTTGGGAATTATGATTAGCCCTAATAAACTTAAAATTGGAGATTATTATGACCTTCTTGATAAAACCTCTTCTAGAATTAAAGGGTGGAAAGCAAACTCCTCAATATGGCTGGCCGCTCTAACTACCCTCGTTAAATCTGTCCTCAATTCCTTTCCTATTTACTCTATGCAAACCAATGTCCTCCCCACTGCTATCACTAATGAACTTCAAAAAAGAGTTAAAAAATTTCTTTGGAATAGGGTTGATAAAAGTAGATATATCCCTAGAACTTCTTGGTCTACTGTTTGTGACCCTATTAGTGGGGGTGGTTTAGGCATTAGAAACCTTAAGATTTGGAACCTTACCTTCATGGCCAAGTTAGGGTGGAAAATCCTTACCCAACCCAATAAGCTTTGGGTTCAAATCCTTTCTAAAAAATACCTAAAATACTCTAATTTTATGGACTGTCTCCCTAACTCTAACAATTCAACCATTTGGAAAGATATTCTCCGGGGTAGGGATATTCTTAAAAAAGGTTTAGCAATTACCATTGGGAATGGGGAAGATACATCCATTTGGTTCCACCATTGGATTGGTGAAAAACCTTTCTACATAGATGACTCTATTCATATCCCAGATAATAAAGGTTATTGGAGAGTCTCAAATATTATTAGAAACAACAAATGGTTTCTCCAACCCATTGCTCATCTTCCCCCCAATAATATTCTTACCACCATTCTTGCCACCCCTCTCCCCACTCTTCACTCCCCTAAGGACAAACTAAGATGGTCTCTTCATTCCTCTGGCTCTTTTACCATAAAATCTGCCTACTTCTCTTCTCTTCCTCCTCCTTCCTTCCCCTCCTCCTTCTTAACAAATTTCCCTTGGCCTTCTATGTGGAAAATCAAAACCCCTTTCAAATATATGATGCTTTTATGGAATATCATCAGGTAGATCCTTCCCATAAGGACTATCATAGCTACCAAAATCCCTAACTTTGATCCTATTTGCATTAGGTGTAACTCTCCCAATGAAGATTTTATCCACCTCTTTAGAGAATGCCCTTACTCTTCAGCTCTTTGGTCTATTATTTTTGAAAATTTTGCTAAATCAGATTTCAATTATAATGAGTTTTTTAATTCTGACTTTGAAAAATGGATTACTTTTAATATGAGTTTAGGCTATTCTTGGAAAATCCTTTTTTGCATTGCTCTTTGGCACCTATGGTCAATGAGAAACAAAATGGTTTTCAAAGAAAAAATGGAATCCATCTACACTTCCTTTAATAAATTCCATCACGATTATTGTATTACCTTGTCACTGTCTCAGGTTATACATATTAATTCTGCTGCCGCGGCTTCAAGCTCTCCAAGGTTTTGGTCTCCTCCCCAAAGGGGGTACTACAAACTGAATACAGATGCTTCATGGATCAATCTGGGAGTTGCCGGTGCAGGTGGTGTTATTCGCTGTCATTCTGGCAAGTGGCAGATCGGTTTTGCAATGAGAATTAAGGCTCTTCGTCCAGCTTCTACTGAACTCTTGGCAATCAAGGAGGGTCTGATTACCTGCTATGCTAGAGGAATCCGATTCCTTGAACTGGAAACCGATGTTCAGGCCGTGAAGTACATGCTTGAAAATCCAATCTACTATATTGATCATGAGTTGTGCAACATTATAAATGATGTGGTAAGCCTGCTAAACAAGGATTGGAGTGTTACAATCCTTCATGTCAAACATCAAGCTAACAAGCTCGCCCATGGGCTAGCTGAAATTGGAAGATCGAGAACTGATGATGACACGGGCTACCATTTCTTTTCACCTCCTATTCTCTCGTCCACCTACATGGAAGAACTGGCTCATTCCCTTGCCATGGTGGGAGGTTCCTGATCCAACAGCTGATTCATCTCATAGGCCTCCTTCTGCTACAGGCCTCACTCTGTCTACAAATGATGAGGATTTTGCTGCTTCACGTTTTATTTCCGCTTTATTTCAGTTGTTATTTCACAAACTTATGCTTGGTTTTTTATTTTGTCTACTTAGCTAAGAATCTCTGGCATGCTAATTTTCTCCCTTTCGCGGCCTGTTTTCTTGATTTGCCTTCAAACATTTCTATTTGCAGGACAGTGCAGGGTATCTTGTGCTTCCTTTTGTTTTATGGTTTTCAGGGATGCTCCTTTAATCACCCCTATGTAATATAAGCCTCATCTCTTTTAATTAAAAAAAAAAGTTTTTCATTGTGTGATTTAATGATTAAACTCTTATAAACAATAATACCCTCCAAATATTTACTTAAGGCATGTTCTAATAGACTGAAATTAGCTGAACTGAACTGAACTGAACTAAGCTGAACTGATCGACTGAACTGAACTGAAAATAAACGTATGAGAACAGGCCCTTATTGATTATCCCTCATTAATGTTGATTGTCTTATTTATTTATTTACTTATTTATTTAAGAACTCATAAAAGCAATGTGTGGGCATTTATCCCCAAAAATATTTGTTTACATATTTTCTCTCATTAATATTGCCAATAATTGAAAGGACTCTCTCAACATGGCTAGCTATGATGCGCGCTACGCACGCATTAACCACCTTATTTTACGTAAAAAACTATTAAACTAGACATAATCTTTGTTTTGAATATGAGTTATAAAAATACCATAAAAGTTGTACACTTTATATTACTTCGACCGGAGTATCTAACAATATATTGTATGAGCTTGCTTCAACCGTTTGATATTTACCAATGGGTAAACTTATATTTTTTTTGTATAAAATGAAGGACATATTTGTAATTTTCATTCTTGTTCATCTTCTTCCTCCTCTTCTTGTTAAGACAAGTGTAAATATATATTATTGTGTATATTTCGGTTTTCTTGTATTTAGCCTTAAGAATATTTAGTTACCTTGTTTATAGCTAAATTAGGGGCTCAGCCTAATCCTTGTACACTGTATATATTGCTAGCAAAGCAATGATAATATTCACGGAATATAATACTTTCATGGTATCAGTTAGCTAGGGTTTTAATCTCTCGTTTCTATCTCTGTTTTCCGCCCAATCCCTCAATTTTTCATCGTCTCCTTCTCTTCTCCGGCAACCTCATGATGTCGGACAAACCTTCTTTTCATCCCGCATTTACTGTCTCTAACATTAAGAATAGTATTTCCATTGTTATTGAGATGGAAAATGTTTAATATTCAACTTGCACGGAACCCTTCAAGATTCACGCACGCTCTCACAAAGTTCTTGATCATATTATTCCTCAGGCCAAGGGCAAGGAGAAGATTCCTCCCTCCACTGATGAGGAGAAGGAACTATGGTCGACTTGGACGCCACGGTTATATCCTTGATATACTTTACCATTTCTAATGATCTTTTGCAAACCATTATTGAGCCCGATACTCCTATGGATGCTTGGAATAGATTGCGTGACACATGTAATACCCCGTATTTTTATACTTATTTTCTTTATTATTAATTAATTATTATATCATAAAAGGGTATTTTAGTAAATTAACTTACTATTTGAATTTTGGAGCCAACATAATATTTGAATTTTGACGTCAAAAATATTTGAAACCTAATTATTTTTTTATTTTTTGGATAAGATTTATTAAACATTTATTTTATTTTAAAACCGGATTTTTTAATATATTTTTTAAAATATTTTAATTAAAGAAAAAACTATATTTTATTAATTATTCAGAAAATTCCTAAACTATGACTTGGTATTTCAGATTTTCAGATTTTCTTAGTTATTTTATTGGTGAATAATTGGTATTTATTTATTTATTTAATTATTTTATACAATAATATTATTTACACAATTATTTTTATTCCTTAAAATCTAGCAAAAATCTTCCTTAATTTCACTAATGAGGTCCGAAAATCTGGCTCAAGATTTTTGGCCTTCATGGTTAATTTTGGGGGGATTTATTTTGGTAAATTGTATTTTATTTATCTCCCTAAAATCTTCTATTTTTCTTAATTCCATCTTTTCATCTTCTTAATATTTTATCATCATATTTTCCTACATTTTATTTCCCTTTATTATTCCCCAAGTAATCTCCCTTACCATATTATTTTTCATGACAACACACCTTCCATATTTTTATTATGCACAATCACCTTAATATCAAAACTTTCCATATTTATTTATTCACTTCTCCAAGTATTTCCTTAACTCTTCTTGCCATAATTCTCCCTAAATTTTCCTACCATAATTCATGCCCATACTAGCCTATAAATAGCCCTTTATTTCATGACCAAACACTCACACCAGTTCTCATAATTCTCTCTCAAATTCTCTTCTTCTTTCTTTTCTTTTCTCCTCCTAGCTTGTGCGCACCACCACCTTCATCGTACACCACCAACACCTCTGGCGCCATCGACCACCAGTCACCGACCAGCGACCACTACCAGTCGCGGCAGCCATCTGCTACCGCCACCACCTCCTCCTCTTCTCCTTGGTTTTCTATCTTTTCTTATTCTCTTTCTTATTTAATTAATTATAATTATTATGGGGGATTTATAAAAATTATTATGGCTAGTTTTAATTAAATAAAACAACTTTTTAATGATGTTTATGATAAAATAATTTAAAAGGTTCATGTACATATAGTTAGGGGTTTTTAATTTAATTGTTGTGATTATTTGTTAACCTTATATTAATTAAGGTTATATTTATTTGTAGGGTGTGCTCAATCAAGGTCCTTGAGTTCTTTTGTGTGGTTTTTCTAAGCAAGGATCGAGGACGTTTAGGTGGCTAGATACCTTTGAAAGTGATTGGTTTAAATAACATGTCTTATATGATTTTTATTGGAGGTTGAATGAAATTGATTGAATTATGATTTATGGAATAATGTATGATTTTAATGTGTATTTTAATAAATTGATCTTGATATTATGGTTTTATTGAGTTATGGTTTATGAAATAAAATTATGTTCAAAGTATTGGTTTTAATAAATAAATTAAGGGTTGATTTTATATCATGTCTTGATTAATTAAATTATTAATCATATTTTAAAGGTTTGATTTTGAAAGCATGTGGAATTTAATAAAAAGGAGTTTGAATTATGTTGGAATCATTAAGAAGGATTTAAGGAAGTATTAAATAATTATTATTAAAGCTTTATAAGCATGTTAGTAATCCCACTATTCGAATTTGGTTTGATAAGACTTTGGACTTTACATGAGCGAGTCTTTACTCAAGAATAGCCTTGCAATATAAGGAGACTAGCTTGGGTGGTGTGCACACTCGGGTGAGGAATTTGGGTATTTAAAGGAATTGATTCTATTAATTATTAGGAAAAATGGAAAAGAAAATTCCAACCTTTGGTCGGTCTGACAATAAAAATCCAGCCTTCCACTAATCTCATAAAAATCCAACCTTTATACCCCACCTTCTTTTACAGATCCATTACATGTTAATGACCAATTTTTATAAGTTATGTGCCATGTGTCAGTCATTAATTGGTCAATTATTTTTTTAATCATTAAAAAACAAAAAAAAATTAAAACAAAAAAAATCAGAAAAGCCAACCCCATCTCCTCCACCCCATCCCCACTGTGCCTGACCACCCTATCCCCGCCACCGCACCTGACCACCCCATCCCCACCGCCCACTGACCCCATCCCCATCCCCACCGTACCTGACCACCTCATCTCCATCCCCAATGTAACCCATAGACAACAACAACCACCGACTCCAAACCGCCCAGCCCTGGCATCCCAAAATCCGAAAAAAATTACCATGTTTAATAGGTTAAAGGTCAAATGGATCTGTCAAAGAAGGTGGGGTATAAATGTTGGATTTTTATGAGATTAATTGAAGGTTGAATTTTTATTGTCAGACCGCCCAAAGGTTGGATTTTTCTTTTCCATTTTTCCGAATTATTATTGAAATATTAGAATTGGTTTTAAATCATGAATTGGAATCATTTGTTTAATTATTAGAATTGGTTTAAAAGCATTTTTACTACTAAATTGAATTTAATTATCTTACACTTATCGTACTAAGCATATTTTGCTAATTCATATTTCCTATTTGTTTTTGTTCGCTCTGTTTACCATAATGGTAAACAGTGTTGACTGATATCATGTAAAGTCAATATGTGAGCATTTGGAGTCTCGAAATATCTTCATCTAGATTAGGAATGTCTGTTCTTGTTTTTAATTATTATTATTCATGACAATGGTTACTATTATGGTTTTAATTAATAAAAGAGTGTTAAAATGTCCGCTACAAAGTATTGGTTTTATTTAGTAAGTTAAGTAGCCTTGCATAATCACGCGGCGATAATACGCCTAAGTCTATCTCTACGGTATAATCATACGTATTTTTCTAGTATTTCCATAGAGGGAGATTTGGGGGTGTTACAACTGAAGGAATTATGTCTTCGATAAGTGCAATTACTAGATATATCAAGGATCACTATTATGGAGATAATTAGTTCATTCTATAGGGTCGTCATTGTCTGGTGCTAGATGTGGCAAATAATCTTTGGGCAAGTTAAATAGTCCAAAGTCCAATAGAATGGATCCTATAAGGTCACACAACAAAGGTATTGGGTCAAATGACATACCATGAAAGGGTTTGGGCTAGAGTAGTTTGATTAAGGATAAGACTTTGGGCTTGACATGGACTCTTATTTAGAGATGTGATTTATAAATAAGATCCATGCCTAGGGTTGACAGAATACACAATCAACATACAGTAGATTGTGAAACAAGACAACCAATCCCAAAACCCTAAACTTTCTTTTCTCTCACCTCACTCACTACTCTCCCTCTCCCCTCACATCCGTACGGCCGGTGCCCATAGGTGTTTGGCTCGTGGTGGTTATCGTGATGGTTCTTGGTTAGTTTTTTTCTCTTCTCCATTGAAGGTTGATTGAAGCATTCGATCACAACTAACTAGCATTAGTGGAGGTTTGATTTGTGCCTATGGACTAAGTAGAGGAATCACACTTGGGGTTCTTTATCTCCCATTGTTCTTGCTCGATCGCACGTGGAATCACGCTTCAAAGGTACAATTATATGTTCATTATGTGTTATGAAATGATCTTTGTTATTAGATGCTTATGAATATGATTCATGAAATTCCGCTTAGAGTATCTAAATCCCTACAGTGGTATCAGTTAGCCTTTGCATTTACGCATATTGATAATAAATCTTTGATGTCCACAAATTTTATTTCAATTAAGAGGGAGAATAATTTAATTATGGTTCAATCATTATATTAAATGTGATTTAACTTTTGGAATTGATTAAATGTAATTTAGTTATGCTCAAAAT